AATTGGGTATTATTATTGGGATTCTCCTACAGAGAAATAGAGTCGAGTTCCGACCGAAAAATATTGATTTTAAAGAATTGTATACGGTTTATACGAAACGATTTTTTTTCCCATATAAAATACATGAAAAGCTTTGAGCGCTTTGAGCGACCTCTATATACTATTTGGTTTCAAAACTAAAAAATAGGGGTATGTTTTTTTCGTTATAGAACAATCCTATTCACATGCATTTTTGGACCACCCTAATATGTATACATATACATATATCCATGGGAGTAAGCACATTTATTATGCGCCCTTCGCCTACATTTAGGGAAATTGAAAATTGAGTTTAAAATTTTCTAGATTTTTAAATTTATTTAATTAACGTGTTCCAAGTAGTTGAAAAATTTTGAAACATGGAATGGGGAAATATAATTTAAATATGCTTTCGTTTATAGAGCCAGGTCGAAAGGTTCATGCCAGTATGAATTTGTTGTGAGTGTACCTTAATTCATATTAGCGATTCCCTTTGGAATTTGCCATAGCTGGAGTGATAGAAATCTCGGCCTGTGCTAAACTAAGTCTTGAAAAAGATTATCAGTATCGTATTTACTAAGGTGACCACCACTACACACATCAATAAACATTTAGACACTCTTCAACTCTCGCCAGCAAGTACCTCGAAAACTGACTGCGTGCTGTCTTCCCAGCCACAGTGTGATGGAGAAGAACGATGTAACCGATGAAGACTCCATGGCAAGAAATATTTAAGTCTAAGTTTTTTACAGGCGCTGGTCAGAATTGAGGCGCTAGAGGCAAAAGTAACGCACGCCCTTAGCAGCCATTGTCCAGTTATTATGGAAAGCTTCCGTGTAATGAATTGTCGATTTGTATACTAATCAGAATTACCATACAGTCCTCAACATAAAATGTAATACTGGGTAAGTACTAGGAATTAATTGTAAGGAATAGCTGGCAAGCAACAGGATCAGTTGCTCAAGTCAAGGTGTTGAGTGCTCCAGTCCGAGATAACTTTTTTCGTGAGAATCTTCCAGTTGCAGAAATTAAAATCTCTGATAAGTTCTTGCATGCTACAGCCAGTCTAACCTCTGGTTTAGTTTCGGAGCAAATACCCAGTGTCCTGATAGTTTATTATTACATAGCTGTCACCTGCCAGAGTTTGTCACGCCGGAACCAAGAAGACCATTATTACACAACCTTTCCAGCACCAGGATTGGTTACTTCAGGTAGGGTTTCGTAGGATACAACCAGTCTAGGCATTGCCGAAAGGTATCTCAGTTAACGACATCTTCCCAACACCAAAAGTGATTATATCAAAGAGAAACTATTATTCTGGTGACAGCCCAGACTCTAAGATGAATTTGTTTCAGGAAAACCTATCCTGTAATCGTTAAGTTTGCCCTTTTAAGGCTGTAGCAAGACTGATACAGCCCTGGTGCTGCCAACGTGAACTCTACTTAGAACCTGAACTACGAGAGATAACCGCTGTTGAGAGAAAAGTGATAATCTCTGATAAATTTTTGGGTGAGAAAATGATTAAGAAAATCTATTAAGCGCCGAAATAGATTACCTGGAAAAGTGTTTTCCATGCCAGTCCTTCGGGCCAGGTTTTAGAGCTTTGTCTAGAGCATTTCATATCATATAATCATAGTAAAATGATCACTAAGATGGATATGATACCTCAAGCAATTATACTCTCAATCGGAGGCATTCGGTTTGGTCTTTATGATACAGTCAAGTAATTTGGCCTGATTTTAGAGGGGGGAATTATAAACTACCTCAGCAACACTCACACAATGATACCTAATGTCATGCTTAACATAGCTCTCGTTGAATTTGCAGGTAAGGTTGTTGCAGCAAAGACAGAGACCAGACATGGAGGCATGGCACGGTTATTTGACCCAGGATCTGGACACGCTATTACCCTTGTAGCTCTTGACTTTATCTCAAACTAAACTGACAACAATTCGCTCATTTTCCTCTCAAATCCCTTTAGGGATGATTGTACGGGAAGGAGAATTTGCAGAAAGGCTACGGCGAAATTCTGCATAGATGGATCAAAGTTTCACGGAAAGGTTGGTGGAGTGGTACGTTGTAAAGAGCTCTCTATTAATATCAGATTTAAGATTCCAGTATAACTGTATGGTTGACTTCTTCACCGAGATCACTGATATTGGAACCGTCAACTCTGTCTTACAAAACTAGTGGTCTATCCACTGAGCTGAGTACGAGTCATGTAAACTACTTTCCACAAAATTTTCACAATTTTGCAGGAGGTTAACTCCTTTCATCTGGCTCTGAACTGCACGTTGGTTTTTTCGACAGTCAGACTGGTAGCGTTTTTGGCAATCTCAGCTGCTATTTATTATCTTCTATTCTTTTGTGTCCGCGTATGCAATGAATATGTAGCCTTTTCCTTACGTCCAGCCTTTCAATGGCTTCCTGGCTTGTAATGACGTTTTAAGATTATACACTATATGACGAAACTGTCTTTATTCCTGAATGACTGTCTACATAAAAATAAGTTTACTTTTGAGTTGGTGTTACGCTTGAAATATGCTGCAATGGTTAAATAACCTTACTGTCCCCTGCCGTTCAATTCCCGGCAGTATATTTCGGTTCTCACTTCCGTTACTATTATGGCGCCACATGTGAAAACGTTGAGGGTGCTCCGGTTAGGTTTCAGTAACTTGCGCCATATATCCTCTTCAATCGTTGTGCGAAACCTTCGTTTCTAAATAAAGTCAGGTCCCATATTATCTGTGCCGTCTGTGCTTCTTGCCGTAATTGAGCTCTGCCCAGAGGTTCTGTAAATTAATTTCCTTACGGACATCAATCTACCTGTAAATTTAGCAGCACGGTTTTTCAAGGTTAAGTCTAATAATTTTTTCTAGAGCTTCCGTTCCTCAATCCAACTATTTTCCATATCAAAGCGCTATTGAGTAGTATTGGTCTGAAAGCATCACCCCAGGTGACAGCACCCAAGTGAACCAGGCATTATTTTGCATGCATATAGGGCGTTACTGGACTTCCTCACCCTTTCCTTAATATTGCACCTGCACAGCAGCTGACTGTCCAAGACAACTCACAGGTATATAGGTAAGATAAATGAGGTACTGCGACCCATAGGTCTATTGTGCCCTGAACTCTTCACAACAAATTTCAGAATAGATATTGGGGTAGAGAAAGAATGTGCTCATCTACTGGCCATAGATGCAATGTGCTCCTCTCCCTTTTGCGTTAAATATCCACACACTCCAGAAAGAGGGTTAATGATGTCCCCTTGGCTGCGCCAAAGAAGCGAAATAGGTCACCTGACAAGATTCCTAAATCATACAATTGACCGCTTAACCTACAATGGCCCATCAAAAAACTCTGACACGATTTAGACTGTACCCTCCTAGTAAGATTGTGGATTTTCGAAGTCCCGTGGGATTTATTGAAAGGAAGGCCTAATGTTCTATCGGGGTCGAGGCAGCGGGCAGTCTGGCTAACTGATCTGCTTCCCCATTTCCTTTCGACTCCCATGTGCCCTGGAACTCATAGCATAGTAGTATTCTAAACCAGAGTCTCTCAATACACTCCAGGAGCACTGAAGATTTGATCTCGATGGATGGGAGAGCCGTGAGTGCCGCCTGACAGTCGCTTAAAATTAGGAACCCCTCGCTTCGATACTTCCGAGGAAGGTTAATCTCAGCACACAGACTGTTGGCATAGACTTCTGTTTGAAAGGTGCTTTGTGTGGTCTTCAACTGGTGCCTCGATGCTACCCAGCCAAGGGTGGTCTCCACACTAGGACTTTGGTTCTTCTTTTAAAGTGTATCAAGCCCCGCTGGTGCTGCCTATTGGTCAATGACTTTCAGGACGCAGTTCATTTTGCCTCTGATAGTGTCTAGTCTAGTTACTAGTCCTCAAATGACAGATCTGCGACAAATTCTGAAAACTTATTGAGAGCGTAAATAATTTAACAAGTACATATATGCTCTCTGGGATATTTGATATACCCGTACGTATCAGCTTCATATTTAATGTAATGAAAATATATATTTATAAATCGTTATATTAAAAATATTACTGGGATTCAAAATAATTACATATAGAATACTAAAATAATATTACTTTGTTACTTTACATGCAGCTGTTTTTTTTCATTCTTATAGCCAATTACACGCATTAAAAACATTTTGAAAATTTTCCAAGCCATTATGTTTCGCAATTCATAAATTTTTAAGTACTTCTGCTGGGTATTGCTTTAATAATTTGTAGTGATGAAAAGTATTTGCCCTACTGTACACACGCACGCATGTAGATATTTCGAAAATGTAACCAAATGCTTGCCACCTACATAAAAGCAACATAATCATAAAAAATTAATAATTCAGGCAGCTCATTCAGCTGCGGGATTTCCACTCAACATTAATGACTGCAGAGCAAAGTAAATATGTAAAATGAAGCAACAGAAGACGCTTGACGGACTGATGAAAGCCGAATCGCACAAAAGGATGAAGAAAGAGGGAAGTAAAATCCAGTTTGCAGCACCTCATACGCGCTCATACCAAAACTTATTATGTGTTAATTTGTAAAATTGCGCGACAGTGGAACTTTTTGAAAGCCAGCAACTAAGTGGTAGTATGTTGCTCATACGCCATGTAGAGCCTCAGCGACACTTGGTTGTTGTGAGAAAAAAGAAAAATAATAAAAGCGAAGCTACAACATAAGCAAAGCCAGAGCAGCAGCTTCCACGCATAACTACGAAGATTTAAAAAGCTCAGCCTGTCATCGACGCAAAATTTTAATATAAATGATTGACAGTCGAACGTAGTCTCGCAGGGCCAGCACACACATACGCAAGTGCATATATTTGTATGTACATACAGTTAGGTTTCGGATAAAAATATGAAGAGCTTACACATTCATTTATTAAGAAGCTGCCAAGATGTAGTCTACTAAAAATGAAGTAAGAAAATACTTAATATAAATACGTATATCTCACTTACCGTCATATATTCATCCAGGCGATGCTTCCAATTGTCAGAGCGATCAATTAGATTGTTCCATTGCTCGGAGAGTTTGACGACTTCACGGCGAATGCTGCGCGTTAGCTCGCGGCTTTGTTCCTCAGCGCTTAGGTAACGGGAATCGGTGTCGTGTGCTACAACGCAGATGCGCACACACAACCGCATACGATGAAGATAAAGCGGAAAAGAGAAAAATAATAATAAAAACCTCTAAGTGAGCAAAAATATAAAACAAACGTGACTGGTAAAAGTTATAAAGAAATATATCGGGTCATAAGAAAAGTGTCCGCCGCAGATTTTTGGATAAATTAAGAAAAAAGGCGAGAACGGCTTGGCAAAGCATTAGTTAAATTCAGTCTCATACATAAATAGTTTAGATTATAAATTAAAAATGTATTTAATTTTATTTTATACATTTTATCGGAAACAGTACGCAAATCTTACATAACCACATCGGCAATAGTTCGGGCCTATTGCATAATCTCTTGTATCGAACTATTCCTAAATGTTCCCGTACTGTTAACAAAATTGTCCTGAAGTAGTCCTAAAATGGTCTGAAAAAGTTGTGAAAATGTTTCGCCAGTATCCCGAACAAGCCTTGCGACGTTTCCGAAATGGTCTCCCACTAGTTCCAAAGTGATCCAAACTAGTTCTGAAATATTCCTGAAAGAGACTTGAACAAGTCTCGAAATAAACCTAAAATAGCCCCAAAATAATCCGGAACCAATTTCAAATGACCCAAAACTAGTTCCGAAATGGAGCCCAAATTGTCGCGAACTAGTCACGAAGTGATCCTGAAATAGCTCGGGAACGATCCTGAAGTAGCCCTGAACAGGTCGCGAAACAATCTAAAAAAGTCTTGAAATGGCCCTAGTATGCTTCCTTATTAGTCCTAAAGTGATCCAGAAATAGACCAAAAATATTGCTGAAAATACGCAGAGACTATTCAAATGACCCAATATGCGTATTGAGAAAATGAAAGGTTAACGCACATATCCAACTGTAGCATATCTGTTTGTTTGTAAGTTAATAATTCTTTGTATTTCTTTCTCAAACGCCGGTGGTGCTGTGACTGCCACATATCAACGTTGACATTTTTGATTACATTGATTGCAAGTGATTAAGTGTTTAGGATCTCTCCCCATATCTGCTTATGCTTTCAGATATTTTTATACACGAGCGCACTTGTGCACAAGGGTATTATAAAACACTCGTTTATGCATATATCTGTGCTGTTCAATTAAAGTTGCTTGGGTCGGGATATGCCCTTTTCTTTTAAAGAAACATTTCGTTGGGTTCCCAAACACATTTTTACGTTTAACCCGTCATAGGTGTAGTTCAAAATGCCTTTTTAATAGAAGCTTAATAAAAATATAAAAATCTTCAAAGAAAACTGATTATTTTTTAATCAAAGTCAAACCTTATAAAGTCACTTAAGCTACTTTAATTGAACGGCACAGATATGCATAGTTATTTGTATATGTATATAAGTCATATTTTTATGTTTTTTTTCTTTATCCTTGCCTCCTACGTAGTACTTATGTACTTCTTTAATCGTCTTTTGCGCCTGTGTAAACAGAAAATTTTCTGTTCTCACTTTTATGCAAATATTTGTTTGCTTAAGCATTGGTTTGTATCTTATGTTTTTTCTATTTTCTTTTACCGTATCAATTCTTGGCCAAGCTCAGCCGCAAAAAATTGATTATGCACAGCAGGTCCCGCTTCCAAAAAGAGATTGATATACAAATTAAATATTTTAGGGATTTTCTTTAAAAGTCATTTTATTTTCAAGTCTGTGCGTGAGCGTCGTTTATTTTATACATTTCGCAGCTTTGCACGTGGTGATCAAATTAAAATTTGATTATGTTAAACAAATAATAGGTATTTTTCTAAGCATTTTTTTACAAAAATTAATCGAAGTGAAAATAAAAATAGCTTAAAATTTATTTTATTTTAGCTCGATTCGTTTAGTAAATTTATAGTTATAGTATAGTTTAGGTCATTAAAAAAGGGACTTGTATTTTTGTGCGAAGCTATTTCCTATCGAATGTTAGCTGTAAAAGAGAGCTGAATGCTATTTGTTCAACAAACATACCTCAAAGTCAAAATTTAACACACTCAGCAGGATTTCACGAAAAAATCCATTAATTAGCGCTCAACTAAGCAATAATCGAGCAATTAAGAATTTAAATTTTGTATGGTAAATCGCGCTTAAATAGCCTGTTAATCGAGAAAGCTTGCCTAATTGCTCGATTATATTTTTATGGTATAGAAACACTTTCAGTGTGCTTTCACGTCTTAAAATAAGTACTCATTTCATACTTCTGTACTCTACCACTTGAAATAGATGCTTATAAATATTTTGAACATCGATGCTATATAATTGATTTTAAGTAACACTAAGGACTCTATTCTGTATCAGTAACAAATTCTTGTTAGAGTTTTTATTACGGAGGAATATATGAAAAAGTTTAAAATTTTCAGTAAAAAAATGTTTGTCGCTGATACAGGATTGGGCTATAAATTATGGAGCCAATAAAAATACTTCAATTTTCTATTTAAAATGTAGATATTAAACATTTTATTATATTCTGACGCTTACACAATTCGTTAACCTATGCAAGAATAATATTTGACTATGTACAATATTGGCCATTGAAAAACTCTCTCTCCACTAACGATATTTGTATTGTGCGAGTACGTATGCACTTTGCGAAGTTTATTATGCAACACTTTGCCGAAAACAATTTCTCTTCAGGTGTAATATTTTCTTAGGCACTCGTGCAGAGCAAACTTGGGTATACGGGTAGAAAGTGATGGACATATTAAAGTGAAGTAAGTGTTTAAGCGATATACAAATACTATTGAGTGAATGGTAAGATATTAGTACTTATTGTAGTTGATAGAGAAAAGTCATTGAATTTAAATCGGTGCTGCTCACTGCCTTGCCCGCGGACAAAGCTCTTTTAAGCTTTCTATACATTTTGTATAGGCGCGAGCAGAGTAAAAGCTCTCTCTGCCCATCTCTGATTTAAATAAAACAGATCAAAATTACAAATGAGAGAAACAGAATTTCTTTATAGCGAAAAGTTTATTTCGTTTTGAATTTGAATGGAACAAAAATGCTTTGTGGCTGTTGATTTCTCAATTAAGTTTTCATTAACTTACTTTAAATAAAAAAAAGTATTTTCATGTTGAAGCGAACATGAAATTGTTATATTTCAATGCATTAATTTGACTTGAACATTCATACTGAGAAAAAAGACAATATTTTCATCAAAACAAAATTTAATAAATTCACAACAAAGGAAGATATGAAAAAGCGTGAGCAAACTGGCTGCCAACGAAAGCGCCAAAAAGTATGCAATGCTGCTGACATGGAAACAAAAATAAAACAAACTCTTGCGAGCGGTCCCTTTTGCAACCACAAAAGAAGCGCTCGAGGAGGAGATCGAAAATTCAATTGAAAAATTGTCCGTGACAAGCAAAGTATCGCAAGCAACCGATTCAGGCAAAATGTAAAATATCAAATTAAGCGATAAGCAAAATGAAAATAAATAAAATAAAACGCGCTGCACAAAATCAAACTAAAATATGCATATCGCAAACAAAATTGTGGTAAAAAATAAAAAAAAAAATCCAGCAATTCTGACTGCAGACTATTGATGGAATGCCGAAATAAACTACGTAAAACGATGAAGCTGCATTACAATACGATCCACATACATACATATGTACATATATGCAAATTTTTTAAGTGCATAAGTGTATGTTGGTAGCAGGTCAGCGGCAGTAGGAAAGCACATATGTACATACATACCCCGCACAGCACATAGCAAAGCATGCATGGCAAATCAAAATGCCGATATGAAAGTGTGCTCTGGATATTTTCCGTATATATTTTGGCATTTTCATGTTGCTGCTTCTCTCTTCCTCCCTCTCGATTTGCATATGATTTCACTTTTATATATTCACAATCAGTGAATGCAATTTGGTAAATTCAATTTTACTTTCGCTTTTGTTTTTTGCTTTGTTTTCGTTGATGCTCTTGCATTGTTTATACATTTTCTTCTTTTCGTTGAAAATTTTGAACCTTGGGCGTCTACGGGGCCCAGCACAAATCATGCGGGAGTGAGCGTTTATTTCGTGTTCTGCATATTGTAGCACACATATACATACAGTGACTCAAACAAAAGTTCACATTGTAATTTTTTTTAATATTTGCAATGTCGTAAAAGTATTTTTTTTGCAATTTTGTATGAAAATATTGTTTATGCTATAAAAAAAACCACATAACGCTGGTTTACAGGACAAATTAAAGTTTGTAAAAAGCATTTTCCAGGCTAACTTTGGGTCGCCAAACAGGAAAACTATATCCGTTATTTCAAAGAAACGTTTTCAAAATTTTTTCGGAAAATATGTTTGTGGTACTTTTGGCAGTTATTCGTCTAATCGACGTAGGCCTACCTGCCGTTCGAAAGGTACTCAAGTGGTTTTTACAAAAATATATAATTTTTGCAGACTCAAATGAAAATTATTAGCGACAAAATTGGAAATTTTCAATCATTTATGGAAATTAAAATTTTTTTCTAAATTAATTTGATGCAAAATATAAATCATTGAAGTATGGCCATGAAAATAGAATGATTAAAAATTGCAGGGTGCAAATTCGAGAAAAGTCTACCCAACACAAATGAAAAAGTTCAAGTGAAAAGTGTGATTGAAAATTTAACTTTTTTAGATTTCATTGCAAGCAACAATAATAATTTTTAATATATTTTGTTTGTTGTAAAGAGCAAATTGATACCTGTCGAATGGTAGGACGAATAACTGCCAAAGTATCAAAAAAACACGTTTTCCGAAAAAATCTCGAAAAGACTTCTTTAGAAAAAAATTATTGTTTTCATGCTCAGCGACCCAAAATTAACTTATAAAACGTTTTTTTTTTTACCGTAATATTTGTCGACTAGGATAACTGAAAGTTTCAAACAAAATGTAAAATATTCCAAAAATTAAAAATTTTTGGCCATCAGTTTTTAGAAACTGCAAACATATTTTTGGGCATGCAGTTTTATGGCCCATAAACGTTTAGTAAACTATATCAATAACTTTTTTTTTGCGGCCGTTCTTTTGC